ACATTCAGATAAGTTTTCTTCATCCGAAAATCCGATGTTATGCTGTTCGTTTTGAAATATTGGTAGGATAACTTATCTCATGTCAGTTTAGAAATTTACATGTAAATATATTCATTAAGGGTAGACTGACAATGGAGGTCTCCCAACGTATGCTCACAGATTTGGACCAAACTAGTGTCAATCGATCACAAATATGATTAGTATGAAATTTGCAAATGACACTATTTGCCAATGCGCAGGTTTGGCGGAGATATTTGCATAAAAAGCAGAAAAAATGCGCAGGAAATTTGGAAAATGAAAAATACGCCAGCCTTTTGGTGCGTTTCCTCCTCTTTTTATGCAAATATCTCCGCCAAACCTGCGTATTGGCAGATAGTTCCATTTGCAAATTTCATACTGATTATATTTGTGATCGATTGACGCTAGTTTGGTCCAAATCTGTGAGCATACGTTGGCAGACCTCCATTGTGAGATTTACAATCTATGCCACATCAGATCGTCACCTTACACATGTAACCTTAAGAATTTCATAATTTTTGTGATACATTTTAACGCTGAAAAGCGTGAATTTACAGAAATATTAAAATCCCAAACTACATTCAGATACATTTTCTCCGTCTGGATTCGATGTTATGTTGTGTTATTCGTTTTGAAATATTGGTAGGATTTGTATGGGTTTTTGTGGTGGTGGGGAGTGTGGTGTGTAATGTGGTGCTATGTATTCCTCTCGAGTGCTGACTCCGACCACTTCTTTACACTCGATGGCTTCACACTCCATTTTATTTTATGCCTTTTATTGGATTCTTATTCCCAACCCTTTCGCCACTACAGTCGCACTCAAAAGATGAGAAACTTGATCAAATGTCTCGTCTCGTTTTAAGAAGAAAAAAAAATAACAGGAAACTTTCGGGAACTCAATCCATTACAAGGAATCTCAAATTGAGGAAAAATACATATGTACACCGAAAAAGAAATGGGGATAAAGATTTTCTTAAAAAGTAAATATTGCAGTTTTTTAAGGAAAATGGCAAAATTCAGTTGAACAAAAAAAATCGGTTGAGAAATGACTGAGATATCGCAGATGGTCACTTTTTTGGGGTGGGTCAAATGCATACTTAGTAATTTTTTTCGTTGTTAGGTATTTGCCTCACTAAGAAAAAGCAGGAACAAAATTGGAAAAAATTGTTTAAATTCAAATTTTTCAAGAAAATGGTAAAAATCATTTGAAGAATTAAAAACAGAAACAAAATTTCAAATTGTATATAGTTAAACTTGCAATTTTTCAAGGAAATAATAAGATTCTAATTAATTTTATAAGTTTTAAGCAAATAATTTTAAAATTCAGCTAGAAATCGGGGAGGAATTTAAAATGAAGTTAGAAAATTTCAAATTTTAGTAATTGGACTAATGCAAAAATTTCATCCTATCTTAAATTTATTTTTAATGTGATTAGTTAAACGCCGCCCAACCTTGACAAAACGTTTTTGAATTGAAATAATATCCGCTTAACAGAAATTACCTATGTAATTTTTCAAGAAAATATTTAAATTTATTTTAAAAAGATGCAAAATTTCAAGGCGCAGTAAAAAAAACGGACAAAATTTCAAATTTTAGCAAATTGGAATCATGCCCCGGAAATTTTACCCATCTAAATTTTACCCTTTTTTACGTAGAAAAAATTGTAAAATAGACAAACGGCATTTAACCAAGACTTATTTCTTCGTCATAAAATAAATCATGCAATATTTTTTTTAAATGTTAAAATTCATTCAAAACAGTTTCAAAAAATTTAAAAATTTCAGTTAATAAAGGACACAATTTGAGAATTTTTATTGACTCAAGTTGTGTACTTTCATAGCTCTTGCGGAACTGAAGATTCCTCCAACTACACAAAAAATTCAAAAGTCAAACGGCACGCAACCCTGGCAAAAGTTATTTTAGGCAAAATAAATGTTCAAAATATTGTGAAATTTTTCAAGGAGAAACAAAATTTCAAAATGTAGTTAAAATTGCAATTTGTGCCATGAAATATTCAAATTCTGAGTAATAATAAAAATTTTTAAGAAAATACTTTTAAACGTATTTCGTCGTCATCAAAAGTAATTTTAAGAATAAAATATCGGCGTGAAATTAGTCATGCGATTTTTCAAGAAAATTGTAAAATTCGTTAAAAAAAATTTCAAATCTTATCAATTTGAATGATTAAGGGCGATTTTAGTAGTTTGAATTTTGCAAAACCTATCATCAAATCTAAATTTTACTATTAAATATAGAAAAAATGTAAAATAGTGAAATGGCATTCAACCCTGACAAACCTTGTTTTTTTTCTCCCCAGTGAAATAATATCGGCGTAAAATTACTTCGTGATAAGTGACAAACGATAAGTTTAACAACTTTTTCTTTACGAGGTCTCGTTCAGAATTCCAAATATCTTTTGATCCACCCCATTATTAAAATTCAGAGAATTTTTAATTCATTAGAAAAGGAAACCAAATTTTAAAAGTTTCTAAAATACAAAAAAGGCAAAATTTTAAATTTTAGTGCTTGCACTGTGTACAAGTTTTGGAATCAAATAGATCATCTTTGAAGAAATTTTTTGACTGATTAATAAAACCGAAACAACATTTCAAAAATTGCAAAAAAGTAAAAACTGAACAAAATTTCAAAATGTACCAAACTTCAAATTTTAGTAAGTTGAATAACGTAGCTACAAAACTAAAATCTAAATTTTATTTTTACTACACAAAAAAAATACGCAAAAAACCTAACCTAACAAAATTGCAAATAAGTAAAAAATTCAAAAATTTACAAAACTTCAAATTTTAGTAACTTAAATAACGTGTGGTTGTAAAAATAAAATCTAAATTGTATTTTTACTACACAAAAAATTGCAAAATATCCAAACGGCCCGACAAAACTTGTTTTTTCTCCCCAGTGAAATAATATCGGCGTAAAATTACTTCGTGATAAGTGACAAACCATAAGTCCGACAACTTTTCTTTACGAGATCCCGTTCCGAATTCCAAATACCTTTTGATCCACCCCATTATTATTTAAACAACTGTTTTTGGCTTGACTTTGACATTGCAGTTCGCTCAAAAATGTAACTTTATGTGGAAATTGGAGGAAGAAATGTCGCGTCTCGTGTGTAATAACACTTTCACTTCATGACCGGAATAATCTCAGGGAATTTCGGTGGTTTAACTGTGAAATGATATGATCCGGATTTTTAGGTGGGGAAAGTTTTCCACGAGTCGGGAGAAATCTAGCGAGCTTTTATTTAAGTGTGAAGAGTGACAGTGGAGGTGAAAGCGGAAACTTTCTCTTTTTTTCGGATAGAGGGGAGGTCTGGGTTGACTTTGGAGTTGGGAACCAATTTCTGGATAAAATTTCGTTCCTAATTTTGGAATCAGGCTTACTTACGTCAATTATTATAATATTTTAATTAATGTTACAGAAAAGTTACAAAATTATGAAATTTTTGGTGCTCCTTCGGTAAGTTGTAAATTTGAAGAAAAATTATTTCAGTGTTTTTCTAGGATTGGATTAAATTCATTTTTCAAATTGTACTGTTTTTTTAAGCTTGGTACAGTTTTACGCCAATCTTATCTTAAGCTATATAGAGACCATTAAAAAAATTATTAGATATTTGGATCCTCCATTGTTATTTTTTTCCCAAAATATATTTTGGAAGAAGTTTTTTGCAAATTCTTGTCCTTTCATTTTTAAGCTTAATGCCAATTTTAATATTTAAATTTCTGCAGAGACCATTTAAAAATTACAAGATTATTTCATTTGCTGATATAATTCTATGCTTAATTTTAATAAAATTTGGAAAAAGTTTTACGCCAATTCTAATATTTTAATTAATACAGAGACTATTAAAAAATTTTTAATTCTTAAATATTTGGTACTCCTTCTGTAAGTTGTAAATTTGAATAAAAATCATTTCAGTATTTTTCTAGGATTTTAAATTCGTTTTTAAAAAATTTAACCTTTTTGAAAATTTGGTACAGTTTTACGCCAATTTTGATCTTATCTTAAGCTATATAGAGACAATTAAAAAAATTATTAGATATTTAGATGCTCCTTTTATATTTTTTTCCCAAACAATATTTTGTAATAAGTCTTATGCAAATTCTTGTACTTTAATTTTTGCAAATATCATTTGTAAAATCCGTAAATTTTGTAAAATAATTTCGCAAACTTGAACACAACAAAAAGACGCTGTTGATCTTAGCATGCAAACTAGTAAAAATTTGTAAGCTAATTTATGTAGGTATCTACGAAATATTTGTAAAGGTTCGAAAAAGTTTGCAAAAGTTCGCAAAGTTACCAAGGACTGCGTACAAGATTAAGGGAAAGTTTTACTGTTTATTAGGGAGAAAATTGTAGCAAAATTTATTCTGAGCGAGCCATGTGGTCGACGATTTAATCACATTTGTGCATGAAATTTGATCGCATTATTGGATGGATGACCTGAATGCAGGGGTTGTTATACTCTCCCAGCCATCCATCCAGGCTGTACAGAAACCGGAAGTGAATTAGGGAATCCGGGTTGAATAATAATATTTATATTTTGCCATGCTTCCTTTCTCTCGTGGTGCATTCAATTACGAGACATATGAATATTTTGCGAATTATTTAGAAGAATTACCGTTAACACCTTTTAAATATGTTGTAATTTAGTAACCTGCAAACTTTAATAAGTATTTAATAATAATATGGAAAAGCCCATCGCAAATTTTAAAAACAAGTTGCATTGTTTAATTTAATCCAAAGATTGTGGTCTAATGTACAGGCCTAAATTAATTCTTTCAATCTGAAAGAATTAATTTAGACTATAATAACAAAATGTATATACAATTACTGACAATCTTTGGATAAAATTAAACAATGCAACTTGTTTTCAAAATTTACCAATTCAGTTTCAATAAAATATAAGTGTTCTATTTAGCAAATAATGATGTCTTCATATGACAATGAGGTAATTCACAATATCAAATTCATTGCCTGGGAATATTTATTTCCGATAGCTCATAAAATGGATCTTCTAATTTGGCTTTTAAAAGTTGCTACATATTGTTCACATCTTTTCATGATTTTACATATACCAGAATATGCATCATTCATTCTCCAAGGAGGATGGGATTCAGGTCGCTATGTTCCCAAATAACAAACATTTTTCCTACCAGCATGTGTGACGTTATGTGACAATGAGTTAGCCAGATGCCCGCTGTAAAACGGAAAATTCCAGTGTGTACACTCTTAGAAATGGGGTTACGATTATAACCAAAAAGTAAACGTATGTGACTCAACCGCCGTGGTGACAATTTAATTCCAAGTCGGCGAAACTTTAGTCGGTGACAATTGTAACCACTCGATGGCAAATTTATAACCACGGCGGTAAAGTCACATACGTTTACTTTTTGGTTATAATCGTAACCCCATTTCTAAGAGTGTACTTTAAACAGGAGAGGGCAACTAATTTATGGTAATGCTTACGATTGTTGGCAATTAGTCGAATGGCCACCCATCCACAGCCTTCCCCTGCAGCCAGGGTGGAATTGGTGTGTTCCGGATATTGGACGAAAACATCACGAAATTCCAGCCGTCCCCCTGACGCTCGCACATTTTCATCGATCAGTGGTCCGTCTCTTTCCGGGTCAAACAGGTCCGGACCGGTTGCGGCAACGTAAAAGTAGCGTCCTATTTATTATTATACTGCTCCATTTGTTGTTTGAGTTTCGAGTGGTCCCCGATTATATTAGCCGAATCGACCGAATTATTATATTATTGATATTATTTAAGACCACTTTATTTTATTTTGGCGTAAAACTCATTCAATTAGGTGTTTAGAATTTGAAAAATTGAATGATTTTGACGCCAAAATACAATAAGCTGGTCGTAAATAATACAATAATTCGGCCGATTCGGCTAATGTAATCGTGGATCGTTTGGAACTCTAATAATAAATGGAGCAGTAAGTGACTTGAATTTAATTCACACTGGTATTTAAGTTGTGAAAGTTACGTAATTTATCATGATTGAGCTCGTTTATAATATTAAGTTGGCCACGAACCATGAAAGTGAAATGGGTGCGTTGCGCAGATTCCGTTAGGGTTTATAGCCCGATTCTAATATAAATACGTGAGAACATACATACTTAAGATTAGTTAGAGATGTGAGGATATACTCGCGCAGGGTTGAACTTTTACAGAAATTTAGAATTCTGAGAAACTTCGCCACTGCCAGTCTCAAATTGCCTCAAGCTATTCGGACGAAAGCCGTTTCTCAGAATTCCAAATTTCTGTAAAAGTTCAACCCTGCGTGAATGGAGAGTATCTAATTTGCAAATTATGCATGTTCAGATACGTATTATTGCACCTGCATGATAAATTGAATGTGCTGTCCCTGCAAAATCTCAAAAACTTGCAGATTATCCGTCACATTTACGCCATCTCTGATTTGGTCCAAGTAAGACCTTTCTGGGTTCCGGAACTGGTGGCCGTTGATTAGAATTATCGCCAACCCACCGACAATTCGCGTTTGGAAATCTATCATAATCGTCCTGTCCACCCTTTTTGGAACGGGATAGACTCGGCTCTGCTTTAAGATTGGATTAGGCCAGAGTTGGGATACGATCCACTCATCCGTCACGATGGGAGTGGAAGCACCTGGTCGTGACTTTAGAAAATTTCAAAAATAATAAACTTATACGATACAATTTGATAACATACAGATTATTTATAACCAATTCAACATTATTGTATGCATATCATACTTAAGAGGGGAGGTTGTGTACTATCAACTCCGGGATCTCGATCTCTTTTGGGATTTCGATCTTTCTCTGGGATCTTGCGATTTTTCTCTGGGATGTCGATGTCTTTTGGATATGATTTATGAACAAGAACCCTGAAGTGGTTCACATTTGCGCCCGCCACACCCACTCAAAAGTGCCCAAAAAACGCTTTCACTTACTCAAACCCACGCCAAAGATCCAATTTTACTCTTATTTGGACATTTCTTTCACCATTCTACTCCCAGACAGTTGCTTTCTTCTATCCAACATCAAACTCAACTTGTCCGATGATTATTTCGCAGATACATATAATTTGCGTTGTTGATTACTACAACAATGCTCATTCAGAATTTGTTAACTAAAAATTTTCCTAAAGTTGAGTTTAATGTTGGATATAACAAAGCAACTAGCTGGGAGTAGAATGGTGAAAGAAATGTCCAAATCGGAGTAAAATTGGATTTTTGGCGTGGATTTGAGTGGATGAAAGCGTTTTTGGGCACCTTTGATTGGGCGTGGCGGGCGCAAATGTGGCCATGGAATCAAACCGCTTCAGGGTTGTTGTTCATTCGTGGGACACTACAACATATCCAAAGGGCATCGAAATCCGTGAGCTGATAGTACACAACCTCCCCTCCTTACTATGCGATGGTGTGAAGTGTCACCCTCCGATTTGGTTGAAATTTTAAAATTATGTGGTCCAGATCAATACAACCAACGTTTCTTCATGCAATTTATGCGATAGTCAGAATTTGCCAAAATATTTGAGGTCAAAGTTGAAAAACGGGCGATTTTTATCAGGCGGAGGAAGCAAACTCAACTTCCATTCTCTTCCCGTGCTAAAAATTTCATATTTAACCTCAAATATTTTGCTAGATTCTGACCATCGCACAAACTGCCTGTAGAAACGTTGGTTGTATTGACCTGGACCACATAATTTTAAAATTTCAACCAAGTCGGAGGGTTACACTTCACACCATCGCATTGTTAGTATTCAAATTCAAGTTGCATGTACGTACATACGTAATGGAAAAATATAAATATGTCCATATTTACATACCATTTTGCGTAGTGGCGTTGGATCAGCGGCATGTTCGTAATGCAAGATGGCGACCCCATTTAACGGTCCTGGTCCAGGATTTTGTACGATGTGGGTGAGATAATTTCCTACGGGCTGATCCATCCTGACAAGAACGGAGTATCTCTGGCCGGCGTGAATATCCACGTGGTCAACTTTGACTTTGAACGCAGATTATGCCGTCCATCTCAATCACGGTCATGGAATGGTCTTCAATCTCAAATCGAAACATTAACTCGGAAGACAAATTAATTATTCGAAATCGATAAGTTTTCATTCGCTGCACGCTGATAAGGGAGTATCCTTCGGCGTTAGAATTGCCGGTTGGCCACCTGTATGTTTCAAAGGTCATGAGCAGAGGCCTTTGCACGGTATAGTTATCACCAGATGGCGGATATGTATTTATGTATTTCTAGCTTTTTCATACCAAATAAGATCATAGTAAAACCTCGTATACTGACCAACCTAACCATGATAGCAAAAATTCAAACATAGTTTTCTCTATTTTACATGTTTTAGGGTTTTCGTACAGATTTCATATTTTCATATATATTTTGAAGATTTTACATATTTTCCTGTACATTGCGAGTATTTTTCTAAATGTAAATATTTTAGTAGATATTTCGAAGTTTTTTATGTAAAATATTTTTTTTCTTCAGTCAGTTTTCCTCAAAATTATATTTTCATGAATATAGTAAAAAATTTATGTTGGAAAATATTTTTCATGTGCATATTTTGAGGTTTTTTAAGCACATATTACATACATATGTTGCGGAATTTACGTACATACATATCCGTCCTCTGGTTATCAGATCACGTGGAAAATAATATGACTTCACTCACACTCCGAATGATTGCCCATTAATCATGAGACTCTGCGTTGCTGGCCGCGGTACTCCTGCCGTGGTCAAAGATTGCACGAAACGTTCGACAGGTTCGTGATAAAGTTGTTCCAGAATGAGGAGCCGCTCTTCGTCGTAGTGATACTTGCCCGCATCCCGAGTCTTTGCCCAGATTGGTGGATTGTTGTCTTTGACGATGAGTGCCCCGTGAATCCAAATTATGTCGATGTCCGTATGAGCGTGGTACATCTAGGCACACAATTAATTATTTAGTGGTTTATGCTATTTATGTGTACACTGTAAATAAAGTTGAGTAAAATTGCCACCAAAGCAACTATTGAGTAAAATTTACCCTGACAAAGGTAAAATTTACTCAAGGTTGAGCAAAAATCTTTCAAACTTGAGTAAATTTTACCTTTGTCAGAGTAAATTTTACTCAATAGTTGCTTTGGTGGCAATTTTACTCAAAATTGAGTAAATTTTAATCAAATTTATTTGGAGTGTAATCTCCATACACAATTCAAATAGTAACTTCTTAAATATCTAATTGTTAATTACATGAGTTCCAGGTTCATCTTCAATAAACATGCAGTAAGTGTACTTTCCATTGGGTGGGATGTCGGCTTGTGTGACGAAACCTGACACAGAATGTGGATATAATGGAATATACATATCTATACATACCATACCTATTCATTTTCATTCATGTGATTGAATATGATTGTGAATGAAAATGAATTTCCTCTAATTTGAATGAAAATGACTGAAAAATTCCGTCATTTCATTTGACTGACTATGATAGTGAATGAATATGAAATTCCTGTCATTCGAATGAAAATGACTCAACGATTCCGTCATTTCGGATGAATGAATGAATGATTATGAATGAGAGGATTTTTTTAATTCTTCATTTTGCACCCTATGCTTAATACATGGGGCGAAGTAAGAAATGAAATGAAATGAAATGAATATGAAAGAAAATCACTGAGTGTGAATGAAAATCTTAACTCAGAAATCGGTATGACTGAACTTTGAATGAAAAAAGTTTTTTTGAACAGGTATGTACATATATATCTGACCTGCCCCATCCGCAGCGACAGTTCTATCTTGATGCAAACCATGCCAGTGAATCGTTAGTGGGACAGAAAGCCTGTTCTCGACCTGAGATAGGAATCAAATACACGAAAATAATGAATTTGATAAAAAAAAGACTGAGAAAAGACGTAATTGAATTTTGTTTTCACCAGCACAACCAAATGCTGAAATGTCCCAATGGTAATTGTGGGTCCAGGAAATTGTCCGTTAATTACTTTCCCAACTTGCTCAAAATTGTCGGGAGCTACGACTTGTTCTGAAACGATCCAGCGATGAAAATTGGGCCCATCTTCGCACGAATTGTTGCAAAGGATGCAGAACTTATCGAGGAAGGGAGGCGCCTCTTGAGGGAGGACGCATTGTCCCCAAAATAACAATAATATGGGATAAATATTGGAAACTTTTAACATTTTTAACGTTTATACGCTAAGCAAATCTTGTAATCAAAATTACACTAAACCCATTCGATAAATCAGCTTCTGATTTTATTAATGGATAAGTGATGATTTTGCATCAAAATTAGTGCAACGTTGTGTGCGTGATTTTCTCGTAAACTTTTTTAAATTACAGATATGTATGAAACAAGGTGTTAAATATGTACATACGTACACATTTGCATACGTACATAAATTATAGTGTATAAATTTTATTAAATTTAGCAAATTAGTTCAACGAGACTATTTATAATGGTTTCATGCAAAATGGCATGTTTCAGATTGAATTTTCGACAGGCATGTATGTACATTATGTGTGTATGCCATGCCAGGCCATGCAGATTCAACAATCAACATTCAGCAGTAAAAAGCAGAATATCGCACGGTTTGCAAGTTTTTATTAAAGTTGCATGCAACTTGGTTTCTGCTAAATATACATAGAACAAAAACAACATATGCAACAGTTTATATTTATAATGCGCAAATAATAATCATTACAAAATGACTTTTTGTAATGATTATTATTTTGAAAAAGATGAGGTCCAGCTGTTGAAGACGTTTACTATCTAACTTGAGCTTTTTTGTAAGTATGTATCTTAGAAAGATGGTAAATTGCAGAAATATTCTGCTCAACTTTCAATTAAAACTATAAAAACTGTTCAACCAAAACTTATTGAAAACATATAATAAAAATGGATCAATATTGAGAAATACAATAATCTCGTAATTTTTAAATGGTCTCTGAAGAAATTAAAATATTAGAATTGGCATAAAGCTTGTGCAATCCAAATTTATTGAAAAAAAAAGAAATTGAATTATATTGAAAAAGGTTGACGTGAGTAGTCTCCATGTTACCTTGCGTGAATTGAGTCAATATTTCGAAACGAGTTAAATATATTTAATTCGTTTTCTGAATTCAGAATTTCATCGTATACGATAAATGCAGTGTTTCTTTTTGTGCGCACGAAATTATTTTTATGGATGCATGGTGCATAAAAATGCACGAAAATGCACGAAAATGCATAAAAATGCATAATAACATATGAAATGCAACTTATGAAGGGAATGTCGTATTTTCAAGAAATTTTATATATTCCCACCCTGTCAAATTGGAATTTGGTATCGAATAACCAGGAATTATTATTCGGCAAGAAAATTTCAAACAAATGAGAAGTATTTTTTTATATAAAAATACAAGCCCGTATTCAGCCGTTCATAAAAATTGTTAGGTTAATTCATTGTCATTTTAAAAACTTTCATTTTTTGTATTGAAAAATGATAAATATTTTTACACTAAAATACTAAAATCAAGAGGAAAATATCTTAAATAGCACATCGATTTCTCAATTATTCGAATATTTAGAAAAATTACATTATTCCAATTTTATTTGCATACAAATTATTTTCGTCATTTTCGTGCATTTTCATGCACTTTCTAGAATATTTAGTAGGTGTTATTAAACGTTTCAAAACATTTTCGTGCACTAATTTCGTGCAGGTGTTATTTAACAGCAGAAACACTGGATAAATGTGATGTAAACATTAAACACTTCCCTAAAATAACAGAATATGTACACGTATGTAAATATTGCACATTTCAACCTCTACTTGCTAACCCTCCATATTTCGATTACATTAAATCCTTAATGTCCACATGTTTGCATTGTACTTTTCGTTTCACTGGGTAGGAAAAATGTGGAGCATTCGACTCCCTCCTCCACTTTCAGTTCCGGCTCCTTTGTCCATGGACGTTGACTTTTCTTCCTCCTTTATTCCGACGGAAGTGAAAGTATTACATAAAAATATCGGTTGCAAAATCGAACCATTTTTTTTCTGCGAGGGCAGCAGCATAAGCAAAATTCTAGGATATTCTTCTTCCTCAATTCATGCAAAATAAAGACCCGGAAGGAAATGCAAATATTGACAGAGAAGAAAGTCTCCGAGAAGAATTGAACCATCAAATTTGCAAATTTCATAATCAATAATGCAATAAATCCTTAAGCAACTTGCATACATATGTATCAAAAGAATTGCAAAATTCAGTCCTAGCTTGTACGTATGATTGCAAAAAATTGGCAAATATATTCGCACACATGTTTCTTACGACACTTTATTTTCAGAGAGGAAAAGAAGAGAATAAATAATACTTGAAGACATAAATCATCATCACAGCGCCCAAATTCGGACATAGTCGACCTGCAGGGCAGAATCTTCCCCTTTCCAGGTCGACATCCAGTCATCTCTCGCATCCCAAAAGTCCATCAAGGCCTACAAATTCGTGCAAAAAAAATCCATACATAAATTTCCACCAACTTTTCGCACACGCAAAATAAAAGTAACTCCGTGTAACCATTGGCGGCGGAAGTACAGGGGGACAGGGGGACATTGTGGCCATGAAATTCGTATTAATAAGTCCTGCCACTTCCAATCTTACAATTCAAATGTCCCCACATGCCCCCCCAACTTCCGCCGCCACTGCAAAAGTAAGTTTCTTTTCACCGTGGGCGACGTGTTATTCCAGGGCTTCCTCTTTGGTCCCCTGTTATCCGGAAAATAACCAAAAGTTCCGCCAACAGCGACGTTAATCACGATATTAAACTAAAATTTAACAAATTTAACAATACGAAACATCAAAAGTACATAAATAACTAAAAAAAAATACAATTTTTCTTACGGGTTGGTCGAACGGCGACATTTTATTCTCACTCCAAACCGAAGGTCCTGAAAAATTCCCCATTTCCCAAAACCCTCCCGGTGGTGGGGTCACCACTCCGGTGACCTCGCCGTCCAACGTGAAGGCTATCTCGTCTGAAAAAAAGGGTTAGGAATTTCATAAAATTTCACATTTTTTTAGACAAAAACAGAGATGAGCAACAAGATTTGTTAAAATGCAGTATTTTGAGCTCTATTCTTCCCAGGGTTTGGATTTCCGGGGCTGTTACACCCATAAAAAGACGAAAATCTACGTGGAGAAGGTAACAGTCGTGCGAAAATGCATAGTTTTATGACGAACACAACTTTTTATCGCGGTTTAAATGCTTTATTTATTGAAAAACCGTGAAAGCAAGGTACTTCGAGAGCGGTATAAAATTAATCTCGCCACAAAACCCATATTTTCGTGTGACTGTTGCATATATTCTCCATGCAGATTCAGGTCTTTTTGCAGCCCCAGAAATTCAAACCCTTGGAAAACCTTACAATGCGAGGACGCCAGCGGTCACGCTCCGATTTTGACGATAATTATGTAGCCTTAGATAAATAATTAGACACGTGTTTCAGGATTTTTCATAATGCTCAGGTTAAACGAAATTATGACGGAATCCGTGAGCGAGAATTTGCATTTTTCCCGTGAAAATTTTCTCGCGAGAGAGAAAAATACGAATTCTTTCTCACGGATTCCGTCATAATTTCGTTTAAATTGAGAATTATGAAAAATCATGAAACACGTGTTTAATTATTTATCAAAGGCTACATAATTATCGTCAAAATCGGAGCCAGACCACTGGCGACATCGCATTGTAAGTCCTGAAGAAAATTAAAAAGAATCTAGCTTACAGTTTAGAAATTCGAGACAACCATTTTAAGACTAGCGACTTCAATATCTCTCAAATATTACAGTTCAGTTTTGTAATTTTCTAATCAAATTGATTCTAATTTTTCCTCCAGCAAGAATTTGCATTTTCCCGTGAAAATTTGCTCGGGAAATAATTATCGTGGTCATACCTGTTCACTTTCATTCATTTGAGTGATTATGATAGTGAATGAAAATGAATTTCCTGTGATTTGAATGAAAATGAGTGAAGGATTCCGTCATTCAGATGAGTGACCGTGAATGAAGGGATTTCTCACTCATTTCATTTGTCATGCTTAATACATGGGGCGAAGTAAGAAATGAAGTCAGATGAAGTGAAATGAAATGAGTTTGAAAGAAAATGACTGAATGTGAATGAAAATCTTCACTTAGAAATCGGGATGACTGATCTTTGAATGAAGAAAAGTTTTTTTGAACAGGTATGATCGTGGTTTCGTCAAAATCGGAGCGACACCGCTGGCGTCATAGCATTTTTGGCTAAAAATATTGTATTTTGACAACTCCTGTAATTTCCATCTTAAAATTTCACCTGGCGTCCATAACATTCCGAACGTGTGAAACCTTGAGTTAAACCCGCGATCATCATATCTCGGAAAATTCGCTAGACGCCACATATCCGTGGCGCGGTCCATCCCAAAGTGGATCGTGCTTCCGTACTGCGTCACGCCTATATTTTCACCAGCGCCGTTAAACAATTCACGGTTGCCGCGGCATTCCACTAAATCTATTTCGCCAGAGACGGGCCATTCTCCGTACCGGTATTGTTGCGGGAGCAGCCAGACGGCTGAAATAGAAAGGAAAATTATCAGTTCAGGGGGCGGATATGTATTTATTTTCTAGTTTTTCATTTGATGACGACCGATGGTCAAACTTTGTGGGTGTGTTCCCAAATTCGGATAGCTCACAACAATTTCAAACCATATTTTTACATTCGAGGTTTTCGAACATATAAATATTTTGGCTGTTATTTTAAAAATATGTAAATCGCTTACATGTTTTTTTTAATTGCATATATTTGGTCAATTTCAACGACGTACGGCGAAATTTTTATTTTGTAAATATACCAACCTTGTAAAAAGATTGTAAACAAATTCAACCACAGAAAACGCGGAGAATTATATTCAGAAATATATAAAGTTGTGGAAAATTTGTATTTCTAAATAAATCTTTATGTTTTTTTTAAATACGTATGTTTTTCAAATATTTAAATTTAAAAGATATTTTTTTGGTGAGGGAGCGTCCATAAATCACGTGATCGATTTTTGGACAATTTTGACCCCCTCTCCCCCCTTGGTGACCGGTGGTGATAATTTCGCTACCCCCCCCCCCCCCACCGGTCACGTGACAGGAGATGGCTCAAATTAAATCATTGTGTCCGGAATAACAATATTTTTTAAATCATTAATCAAATTTGAGCTACACACATGTGTAAATAACTATTTAATAGGCCAGTCAGAAATAAGAATTTTAAGTCGAAGCAAGTTTCTAAATACGCAAAATCAAAATCAAATTTATATAACTTGCGTGTGGTATGCCAAGGGAGTTTATATATAACTCTCAAGACATTTATTGGCATATAAAAAAAATTAAAAAAACTTTACTCGTGTCACGTGACATCTGACCATATACCCCCCCCCCCCCCCGTGATAATTGGTGACAAATTTCAGACCCCCTCCCCCCTCTAATCGATCACGTGATTTATGGACGCTCCCTGAAATAAATTCGACCACAAAAAATCCAAAGGATTAAATCAAAATATATTTAAATTTTTTTATACGCATTTCGTAAATATTTCAGCAATTTTTTTGTAAATGCATAATATTAATGCATCTTTATGCAGCTTTTTTGTACAGCTTCCTTGAATATGTTTGCGTTTTTTCGAAAATATTAAATACATATTTCAACCATTTTTCAGAAGTAAATATCCACCCTCTGATTATTATTTATACGTGACCTTTGACCCCTCATTATTTTCACCCCGTATTTACCTGGCCATATCCAGTCCCCTTCCGGAACCTTGGCACGCACTTCTAGCTGACCATACTGAAAGGCGAATGCTCTCCGCGTATTCAATCGTGCGGAAACGATCGGGTTAAAACTTCCTCCTTCTTTCGGAGAAAAGTCGTTTTGCGGTCTGAAATGCGAATTCATGTAAAATTTGCGAGGAGAAAAAGATCATGCAAATATGTAATTTTAGCAAACCTTGGTCCCACATTAATGCTCCGATTCCTCCTGGAGCTTGGCTCCTGTCCTCCAAACTTGTCGAGGTTGTAGGTCGGCTTTATGAATAGGATGCCATCTCGGACATAACTATTTTCCGGATTATCGCTGTAACTTTGAAATTCCCCGTTCTGCAAAAAAAAATCCAACTTTTTTTATACAATAATTTCACAACTTGTGCGAAAAAAAATTTCGCCACGAAAACTTTTTCGGATTACTTAATTCAAAAAGAAAGATGGAAAACTCATTAAACAAAATCTTTGCTCGGCATGAAATCTGCGCTAATTAACTTACGTTTTTTGCTTGTGTATAACGTGTAAACTTTGTTGCGCAACCAATTTCTAAGGATTAACAAGTTCTATAATTTTCAAGATATTTAAGAACTTATTTACATTTGTTGAATATCTTTACAGTTTGTGGCAAACGGCGTGGAAAACTCATTAAAGAAATCTTTCTCTGCGTATGAAATGAAATCTGCATTAATTTACATATTGCAATTTTTACGTTTGATTAACATGTAAAATATTTCTGTATATATTTACAGTTCGAGATCAGTTAGAACTCTTATAGCAGACCAAACTGTAAAACTGTGTTTCGTCTACGAAACAAAATTTCTGAAGTTTCAGAATCTCTAAAAATTATTTTTAAAAAAATTCCGTTTTTTTGAATATCTTTGCCGTCTCAAAAAAATAATTCGTAATACTTCATAGTCTTTAAAGTTTTTAAGATTTGGATTCATTGCGCACAAAAGTTGTGCAATTGATGTCATGTAAAAAATTTCAGGAAATAGACAAAAAATTTCTCAAGTTTAAAAATCTCCAAAATAAAAAAATACTTATCAAACATTTTTGCATAACTTTACCGACACAAAAAATAGTTGATAATACTTAATCATTACATTAATTTTAAAATCTTAATCATTACAAGATTTTGCTCTTCTTCTTTGCGAAAGTTGCACAATTTCTTTGAAAGTAAATACACACGTTGAGGATAATATTCATATCAAATGGCACTAATTAACATGTCAATCTCTTCCAATTTTTGCGTATGATCAACACGTAAAAGTTTTTAGTAAATATAATAACAAAATAGCAAATTTCAATTTTGAAACAGTTTTCCGTGCAAAAATTTCAGTAAACCAAGTGACAATAAATGTCCCTCAAAATCCGAGTTTCAAAATTTGAAAAAAAACAATCGCATTTTTGCATATCTTTGCTGTCTTACAAAATAAATTCATAATACTTTATTATCTTTAACTTTAAAAGATTTGTACAGCCTTCATCCGTAACTCGTCCAATTTCTGTGTACATATGCAAATATGTACGTTGTGACCGGATGACACCAAATTTAACATATCAATTTTTGCAATTTTTGCTTATCCAAAAATTCTATGCAATTTTTGCTTATTTTTACCCGTAAAAATTCCAGTAAATAAAATTACGTCATAATACTTCGTAATCTTAAACCGTACAAAATTTCAAGCACTTTTCGATGCAAAAGTCGCCCAACTCTTGTGCCATGTAAAAAATTTCAGTAAATACAATTGCACAACAAATTTCGTAAGTTTTCAAAATCGCGAAAATTTTGTTACGCACTTTTTAACATTTTTGAATATTCTTGACGTCCCAAAAAATAAATGTATGATACTTCATAATCTTAAACTTTACAAGATTCTTCTCCCTAGTCGTGTGTAAAAGGCGCAAAAAAAGTTCGCAAAAAAATCCGTAGTTAATGAACGGGCTGATAATGATTATGATACCAAATGGCACTAATTATATTTCATCTTCCTACACCTTCGACATCACAATGAATAGTTCGTAGTTGTTGAGCCAGAGACTGGGGAAACACGATATTTATGCCTTTTTAAAGCTGCCGCAGAATAAAACTGATGCCATGAATGCACCACCACCACCAATGTGCGCCTCATAGTTGATTTAGGCACACGGGGATTCACACGTACAATACTATCCTGCCCGAAATTCGTTTGGAAAATAGTTAAAATTTTAATTGTGATAAGTGTTTTTGTCTTCTTTGGAGCTCGACAATCAAGGTAAAGTAACTTAAAGTTTTTTCTGGGGACTGGGTTGGAGGAGCACGAGTTTATGACAGGTTTTAACTTGAATATTTAAATTACGAAAAAATAAAAATAAATAAATAAAATTTCACGTTTTCATTAAATTTGTGATAAAAATATAAAGCCAAGAGATCCTCGACGAGGAAAATGGCTGTGGTGACCTTGATAGGCCCACTTTAATTAAACTCTAATAATTCAATTAATATTAATGCTCGTTTTATTTAAAAGGAAATGGCTGGTGGTTCTGAGCAGCAAAGAGATTGGTCTCTGGGGTTATCGGACGACGAGAATGATACTGATGCTGAGGCAAATAAAATAATTGGAAATGGAGACGGTAGAGTCCTATTACAAATTTATTTGTCATTATTTATATTTCTCTCGCAATGAGCAAATTATGAGAATAATAATTATTCATTCTAGAGTTGAATGACGAGTTAACCGATCTCCTAAAGGACATTGAAAATACTACCGATTTCGGTCCAAGTTTGTTACCAAATGTCAGTTCAGGATTCGCTAAGACAGCAGCAAGACCTTTAACAAAAGAATCTAAGGCGACTTTAGCAGCCAAAATCAAAGTACCCGAGAATTGCAAAGAATTTCTTGTGCCAAAAGTGAATTCAGAAATTTGGCGACTGCTTCCATCCCAGGCAAAGATCCTCGATATTAAGCAGCAACAGATCCAACAATCTCTTACACTTGGATTATCGTCACTGGCCGTAATTACAAATACAATTGTAAATTCCAAGGAGTCCATTCCTAAAGAAGTTCTTAGCTCGGTTGTAAAACAAGCAATGGACGGGGCTAATATTTTGGGGGATCAGTTCCAAGCAATATCAAGTCGTCGCCGTTTTGAAATGAAACGACATTTGAATCCAGAATATGGAGGAATTTGCTCACAGCAGGTAGACTAAGATTTAAAGTGAATTAAAGATAAAATTGAAAGAAATATTCCAAAGTCAAATTAAATTCTAGTTTCCCAGTTCCGAATGGCTATTTGGAACTGATTTGGCTGAATCGCTAAAATCTACGAAGGCGACATCCACTTTAATGCGAAGTACAATGAATCGTGGTGGACGTTATCATCCCTACTCTCAACCTAGGCCTACTTATCAATCTCAAAACCAGCCTCGACCTTCTTTAAACTGGGGTCGCCCGCAACAAGCACAGTTCCGAGCAGCGAGCAGAACCAGCCAAGATTTTCACAAAGACCTCAGGGACACCGTTTTTTCAGCCAGAACAATCAATACAATCGATTCCAAAAGTATTAAATGTTGACAAGGTATGTGAGGCTGGTAGGCTAAGTAAGTTTTATAAGGAATGGAGTGAAATTACGAACGACAAATTTATTTTAGATGTTATTAGGGGTTTTAAAATCCCATTGATTTCTTGTCCGTCCCAACTAATAGAACCATCCATGCCAAATTTTTCAGATAGGGATACAGAATTAATTGATGATTGTATTAAAAAGCTAAGCGAGACAGGGGCTATTGTAATATCTTCAGAGGAGCAGGATCAGTTCGTTTCAAAAATCTTTACAGTACCTAAGCCGGATGGAAGCAGAAGGCCCATCATTAATTTAAAATTATTTAATTCATACATTTCTAACCCTCATTTTAAAATGGAAAGTGTAAAAACAGCAATGACATTGGTTTCCAAAGATTGTTTTATGGCAGTAATCGATTTGAGGGATGCATATCATGCCATTCCAGTTCATGAAAGTTTCCAAAAATACTTGAAATTTAGATGGAAAGGAATCCTATATAAATACACATGCATTCCATTTGGTTTATGCCTGGCTCCCTGGCTATATACAAAGTTAAATAAGCCAATAATTTCTTATCTTCGATCTCATGGTGTTTTTCTAGTTTTATATTTAGACGATACTTTAATAATCGGGAAGACAGAATCTGAATGTAAAAAGTTTTTAAAACTGGCATTAAATTTGTTTCTTTGACTCCGCTTAGTTGTAAATGAGGAGAAATCACAATTAAGGCCATTAAAACAGGTCCGATTTCTAGGATTTATTATAGATTCAGAAGCAATGCGCATGGTACTTCCTCAGGACAAATGGAACACAATAATAACGAAGTGTAGATCAGTTTCTGAAATTAACGTTACATCAATTCAATGGGTTGCAGAATTGGTAGGCAGTTTAGTTGCAGCGTCACCTGCGACGAAGTACGGAATGTTGTACACAAGACAATTGGAGATCGAGAAGTCAAAGGCTTTAGTTATTAGTGGGGGTAGATATAGTGGTCAAATTATTCTCTCGCCTATAGCTAAAATGGACATTCAATGGTGGATTGGTAATATAAAATCCGAATATCGTTCATTATCCCAATTCAAACCAACCAAGGTGATCTTTTCTGATTCATCTCCACTTGGATGGGGTGCAGTTTGCAACGGTCAAGAAGCCAGGGGTAATTTCTCACCTGAAGACCAATTACTTCATATTAATGTCCTTGAATTGATGGCAGTATTCTATGGAATTAATTCATTTGCCAAAAATGCATTAAATGAGAACATTCACCTTCGTGTTGACAGTTCAACGGCTATGGCATATGTTAATAATTTCGGAGGGTGTAGGTCTGAAGAGTTGCATAATGTTGCCAAAAAGATTTGGATCTGGTGTGAGGAGCGACATATTATTTTGCATGCTACATACATCAACACAAAAGATAATGTTGATGCCGATAGGCTCTGGAGAATGAAAGTTGATTTTTCAGATTTTTCGTTAACAAAGTCGTATTTTGAAAAAATTTGCATGATATTTTGGAGCCCAAATGTTGATCTATTTGCAACATATCAAACTACACAGTGTGAGCGTTATTTTTCGTGGAAACCAGATCCATTTGCATTAGGTGAGGATGCATTCACATTTAAGTGGGAGTCAAAGTTTTACGCTTTTCCCCCTTTTAATTTAATTGGAAGGGTCATAAATAAGATAATTGAAGATCAGGTTGAAGGTATATTGGTAGTTCCAAATTGGTCCACCCAACCTTGGTATCCGATGTTTAAGAATTTAATAAAATCAGAAATTATTTATCTCGGTCCAAG